CCTTGGAATAAAGGTTCCATCGCAGCACCACGTCGTCGAGTGATGTACGACGTGAAAGTTGGTAATGATTTATGGACCCGTCATTACAATCAGTTGCGTCCAAGAAGCTCAAATATCCCTACCGGTACAAAGTCATCTCTGCTTCTGGATATACTTTTAGACACTTTTAACTTACCTAGAGCCGAAAAAACAGAAAAGAAAAATTGCGAAGCTCAGACAACTCCTGACAAAGCAGAAGCCGCATACCCAACAAGCAGACGAAGCAACAGTCGTCGATAACAGACTCAACGGTTTCAAATAAACCCTGAGAAAGCACGCTACTGATCATCAATCTTTTCAAAAGGGGAGGTGATATGTAGTCACATGATGTCTGCTTTGTTTTGACAATCTGATATATTTTACTATGTGTATATTGATCGATATTCCATTATAACTCACAATATAGATTTTGTCTGTCCATTAACTAAATAAACAATGTATGACCTTTTGTCATATGACATTACCAATCAGAATCCAGTGGTGGTAAGAAAAACTACTATGTCTCTTATTGGTTCATGTGTGTTAGTGATTTCCTATATACTCTTGCATTGTACAATTAATTCACTCTCTTTCGTACTTTAGTACCTTTTCACTAACACTCTTTGTGTGACAGTTAATTTTCCTTGTATCACGTATCTTCGTGAACGTGGTGGTCTTCTGATTTTCCTCTTCGCGTCAGGACAAATTAACTACTCAGCAATACCAGTCTGTACGTTATCGGCCGTGTTAAACTAATCACTTAGTCAGTCAGTCAGTCAGCCAGTCAGTTAATTCACAGGTACTGTTTCATTTTCCATGGATTCCATCTCAGTGGCTGAATAGCCAATGAGCTCGCCTCGTAACCTGTAGGTCCGATTCCCGTTGGTGGGGTCATGTGTGCATACTACCGAAGAGTCTGAAACTAGATTCGAGCAGCAGTCCACTACACCCAACTCATTTTCCATCACTTCTCTAACTCAAATCAACCCATGATCAAACGTGAAATAATCCCTTCTGTGTATAAATATTTATCCCATGTCCTTCAATACATCTTTCACTCAAATGTAGAAGAGATGAACAGGTAGTTAGGTGTTTGATTCTAATTGCAACAAATTAAAATGACAGTCCAGGTACTGGTTTGCAGGGATTCGATTGGTTTGAGGATTTCAACATGAACTGACCTTGACTAGAGGACAATCAGAAATCCTGTAACCAATCAAATCCCTACAAACCAACACTTGAAAATCAATGAGATGCTCACTAGCGACTTGCCCTATTCAGGTGGGTAGTCACCTGGGGTTCTAGTGAGAAGTCGTGACCAGAAGGGTGCAGCAGGTCGGGCGTGAGGACAAATACTCGCCAAAGACATTGGCTAGGGGTCGCGCTATGTCGTGAATTGGCAGAAGTTAGAATTCATGGACCATTGGATCGGGTCCCAGTGGCTTAATGGTATACGAGCTCGCCTTGTAACCAGGAGGTCCTGGGTTCGAACCCTGGAGGTGGGTGCGTACTGCTGAAGAGTCCCAAACAAGGACGAAACAGCTGTCCAGTACTCCCAGGTTTTCCAATGGTTCTCTAACTGATGTCAGCTCATGATGAAAATCCTGTAACCAATCAAATCCCTACAAACCAACACTTGAAAAAGAATGATTCAGTTCACAAAATATGGTGTGTTTCACACTATAAATGACAATCAAGAAGTCGAGCCCAATCGAATGATGCTGCATATCTACAAACCGTCCAGTGCTTTTTTCACTTCAACCTGTTCATCATCTAGCCCTCTTGATTCATGTGAGTGGTATTCAACTACTCATGTCAATCAGTGGAATATTGCATCATGCACTCAGAGGTGTTTCACTATGCTTCTCAGTTACAACTATGTTAGGAAATATCACTAATTGTTGTATTTAGGTAATTAATAGTATTGGAGATTGCGTGGATTTACAGAGGCCAACAATTTATACATACATGATGCAAGCAAGTTTATAGTTTGAGGAGTATAGCATGATATAATGAAAATGTTCTACTCCATAGATAGAAATCAACACTTCACCTAGTACACGCTGATCATGTTTTCAAGGTATTGACGCTTTAAGCAAGTTCCGATAGATTTCAATATCATTTCTGTGGTCATCTAAACATCCTTCATAAATCAATAACTAATATCTGCATACTTAATGACAGTGTAAGATTGTTGGACAGAGAACACAATTCAGTTAGACTGACTTCCTTCTCACAGAGTCAGTAAACTACTTCTGTATGTATGTTAATCACACATCTCACATAGTTGCATATTTGCATGTGATTAGTTAACACGATTGTCTGTGCACTGGTCACATCGACTTGTGTGGAATATCAGTTTGATCGAAGGCGAAACGGAGGAAGTGAGCAGCTATCTGACCATTTCAATCAACGTTTATATGACATGTACATTGGATTGGAAGAGATGAATGGATCGAGTCATTGTAAAAGAGACTCATTCTGACAGAAAAGTGTTGAAATAAAGTTTAATAACTGACTTGTAATTCAACTTTATTTGTCAGTAAGGACAAAGGATCTTACAATGATTGTGGCGACCGTCACTGTCGATTTCGTCAGTGAGTGACATCAGTCAGAGTAGAGAATCACTGAAAACGAGAGAGCGCCGAAAGACTGCACCCTCTTAGTTCGGTTCTCGTCATAAATGGATGGATACTCACGTCCCACTCAGGGATGCGATCTAGTACCTTGGAATTATGAGATTAGTACTGGTGAGAATCCTGTGACGTGCAGATTTCTTCTTGTGTTATGTCATGCACATTGTATGGTCTTCGAAGGATCAGTGCAGCACAGCACATCACTGGGGAAACCCGCGTGGAAGTGCACTGAAGCTCTGAAAGTTTTACTCAAGGAAACCTTCATAGCTATCTTAGGCAGGAAGAAGAGGTAAGATAAGTAATGGCTCTCTATGGACACGTAGAAACTAATAGAAGAGGGGATGGTGCCAGTTACCCACTGGCTGGTTGTCAAACTATCAAAGAAGAGCGAAATAGGCTTTTACAAAAGCTGGTGCGGAATCATGCTCTTGTCCTTGCCTAATTAAATATGCATTGACGTCATCCTGAAGAGAATAAAAGATGCTCTATATACAGAACTCCGCTCGGAACAAGCTGGATTCAGGAAAAGCTAATCATATGTGGATCAAATCGCAATGCTACACAACGTTATCGAACAGGACATACAACAAACCTCTGTCTAAACTTCACCCACTTTAATAAAGCCTCCAACAGTGTTGACCGCGAAGTGATTTGAGAACTGCTTCAACACTACGATTCGACACAAAGCTTTATCAACCTTATTCAACAGCTGTGTGATGATGCCACATGTCAAGTGATCCACAATGGAAGGCTCAGCGAGGTCTTTGAAGTGAAGACAGGAGTATGATAACTCTGTATAATATGACCAATGATATTCATGATTGTAGTGGACTGGATCAGGTGGCAGGGTGCAAGAAGACCTACAAGAAGATTCTGGAAGATCAAAACTTCGATTACAATTTAAATCTAATGGTACACGAACTCGAAGACTTACAGGCAAAAGCCAATAATTTGTCAGAAACTTGGTGCGTGGCTAAAAGCATTTCCAACAGTTTGCAGACTTTTATCAACAGCTGCCTTTCCCCCATACGCAAGACTCGAGAACCGGAAAGGATTGAAGACAAAAAACTTTTGGAAGGAGTCAGCAGTGAATCTATTGCTTAGAAAATATGCCAAAGCAAATGGAGAAGGATCAGGTATCGCTGAGGAGACCACTGAGTAACATTACTCACCACGTTGGCCTCCAAGCAGGAGTTGGGAATCCGAGGTTGACGTAGAGGAAACGGGAGCTCATAGGCCAACCAGGGAGCCAGCTGAAAAGGATCACACAGAACAGGTTGAAATGGAGATACGCTACTGAAGCCCCATTTTCGACTCGAAACTCAATGAAATACGCTATAAGATAATCAGCCAGGACAAGTCCTAAAACAGAATCCATAGCAATTCCATGAAATGGTCAATAAAGCTGGTCGTTAAGTTCAAACTAGATGTCTTTTTTGCAAAGGAGTAGTTACTGCTTCATGTTTATTTCGCCTACTGGTACCATATCTGTCTGTTGACAAATAATGTCAATCGTTTCAAACACTCGTACACTTGTAAATAAAGCGATAGCATCATATGATACCATGCGAGTTGTTAGACAGTTTGAAGTAGACCCTATTTTCAAGTATTGGTTTTGCAGGGATTTGACTGTTTTCGAGATCGACTGCAAACTAACTGAAGTTAGAGAACCACTTAAAACTCGGGAGTACTTGACCGGTTTATTTCACCCTTCATCAGTAAGCACCCATGACCGCAGCAGCTATTAAACTCAGGACGTTCAATTTGCAAAGTGAGCTCATTGATCATTAAGTCTATCGATTCTAACTTTTGCGAGTTAGTGATATACTAACTGGTGGTATTGCCTGGCGGTCGCTGCTTACGTTGTCAATCAGCAAAAGTTAGAATTGATGAGTCACTGGATTCCATCCCAGTGGCTGGATGGCACACGAGTTTGCCTTGTAATCTGAAGGTTATGGGTGTCTACCGTTGAAGAGTCTCAAATGGAGACGAAACAACCATCCAATACTCCCTAGTTTTCAATGGTTCCCTAAATGAAGTCAACTCGTGATCAATCTTGACATAGATCCATTCTAACAACAAACTCCCCATATCGAATGTGATCACGACACCCTGAAATGAAAAACAAACCGCATCTCCCTCTATTTTGTTTTCTCAGAAAATTCAATGGACTCCACTGTGGAATTTTATTTCTATTGATATTTATTTACTCAATTTCGTTTTTCTTAATTTTTTAAAATTTAAAAAAAAACAACCAACAAAGTTTCCTTTTGTGTACTAAAAACTAGTCTTATTCTACGTCACAATACCCATACACCCATACTCACGCCACACACACACACACACACACAGTGAATACAGAAGTGCACAAACATCAGTCTGAACACAAAAGACCTTACTGTTCTCTATTATACAGAGAAAGTGAGTACATTAAAGGATGAAGTCGAATTCAGAAAAAGTGAGATTGAAAGAGAAAAAAAATACAAAAAAGTAATACAACTTTCCCAGCCAGCCACGCAACCCACCCCCACCTGGACCCTCTTTTTTCAAGCTTTGAAAAGATCAGATAAACTGTGTATTTCATCTGTGTTATTTCCCCAGTTTGATTTTATTTCTAAAAATACGTTACTTTTTCTCCCTAAAACCATCCTCTTTTTGTTAAGAAAAGCAATAAAAAGGAAAGAAAATTGGGCAAAAATATCCTATTTCATCGTTACACCACTGAATACATTTATCTTCTCCTTTCATAAGCATCACTAGCTCAGATCCGATCAAATAATCTTCACCACCCGTTCACAATTATTTTTTAATAATCAATTTACACCATAAGGAAAGAAAAAAAAAGAGAAGGCAATAATGACAGGGAACAACAACAAAAAAGAAGAAGCTTATGTGAACCAAAAAGATAAAACAAAACACAAAATAGTTTCCATTTTGAATTATGAACTGTTCATTTTTGTTGTTTGTTTGTTTTATCTTGTTTTTGAAAAATTCGAACTGTATAAATCCTGTTGGAATTAAAATAGATGCATTAAAAAAGAAAGAAAATAAAGTGATGAGAGCAGCTGTGTTCCCCAGTCTTTTATTTGTGGGTTACCATGCTCTTAGGTATCATGGCGAATTTTCAAATGAGGCTGTATTCACTTCTGATTGGCTGACATACATACATGCATACGCACACACAAACACAGGCAACTGTAGTCGATCGGTAGATAGATAGACAGACAGGTGTAGATAAATAATCCAATCAGCATATTTGCACACTTATACACCCACGCACACACACCTGAAAGATTGAGAAGGATTCGTTGTTGTAATATGATCGATTAACACTTGAATAAGTCATTATCACATTTGAATGACTAACGCACAAAGAGATTTGAATCAATATGAATAAACAATATTCATCACTCTGAGGCATTACATCACCAACTTTTCGTTGGCTGATGAAAGTAGTAGAAAGTTTTTTCTTTCTTTTTAATTCAATGATAATTTCAAAAAAAACACGAAAAACAAAATAACCACAACTTAAATGAACAAAAAGAAAAATCAAATTCGTGTTTCTTTAAAAAAAGTAGTTTGAATAGATTGAGATAGAGACAGAAAGAAAAAATGCTTTGTCAGTTGCGCGCTTTTACCAGTTTATTTAGTTGTCCGTATCGTTGATCAATATCAGAAATTACTACTCAATGTAGCAAAACGCATACACACACACGCACACAGCAACGCTAACATACAACACATATGCACACACATTTACACAGGCATACAATTATTCTTGCAAACAAGTCGACAGTACGCATAGTGTTTGTTAAACAGACTATCAATTCAACTATAGCAATAAAGGAAGAAAGGTTAACAAGTAGACGGAGTATTGTATCATTGTTCAACAAGAAAAAAAGAAGATTTTCCGGGGTTTCCTTGTTTATATGTTTACTCCATTACGGTATAATCAAAGTATCTAAAATCAAAAGGGGATAGAAAAGAAAAGAGAAGAGAAAAAAATCAGGATTACTTTTAAATATTTTAGATAATGAAAATTAATTTCAATCACTATTCACTGATTTCTAACATCGAATCAAAAGATGTAAGTGTTCAGAGAAGAAGATGACCATAGCTGAGACAACTGATGGTCTGAACGGGACAAGCACGCGGTAGTTGAGTTCTGTTGAGTTAGTCTGTTCTTATAAACTCTAATCACTTCTTTACCTAAACAAATCCTTGATCAGGTGCAAGTATTATATTCTCCCTTAACTAGTTGGGTGGGATGAAAAGCAGCCTGATCACCATGCTCTCTAACGTGTTTAAAGAGGCAGACTTCTGTGAGACTAGAATGTAGCTATAGAATATTCAAAAAATAAGTATTAACGTCATTTCTAGTTAGAGATAATGAGTAGATGAGGTCACATTCCTTAGACCTATTATAAATAACTAGCTTTCTAAATAAGTACACTGACAACATCGTAACTTATAGGTGTCGTCAATGAAAACAGAAAGAGATGGCTGAAAGTAGTAGGTCAGAATTCATGAACGTAGGCTTTAGGTTTATTGGTTCGTACTCATCAGCAGACTCGAAGGAACTGATGTTCTAATGAGATTCGAACCCAAGTTACCAGGTGATAATATCAATGATCATAAAATATTCCTAATTAGCTGAGGAAACCGACATTTCCAGCTCTGAAGTATTGATTTCAATTTAAAACACTGCTGATAACATTCATAGATATTTATTTGCAAGAACTACTATGCAAAAATGTTACTGTTGTCATTAGTGTCTAAGTGAATTTTTGAATTCTCAAATATTATTCTCTACCAAGTGTACATGATGTTTTATGATGACATTGTAAATCGCGAAAATTTTCAGAAATTAATCAGCTTACTTATAAATATATTAAGTAGTAAACTATATTTTAAAGAATTTATTCACACATTGAGATGCAATTGCAACGAAGTCACAAGCAAGTAATTACTACTCTCGATGGTTCTCATGTAATTTTAATTGTAAATTATGAAAGGCAACTTAATAATGAATTTTTACTTAAGGGGTGAACTTCAAGGAACAAATGTTGTAGTTCATAATCTGCACTGCTAAGTAATTTAAATCTGATCATTACTGTAGACCAATTGCAAAGGTTAACATTGCGTGTTTTTTTCTTCTTGACCTGATGATCTCTAAAAAAACGTCACCGATCTATTCTCTATTGTTCACATGATAACACATCTGCATTAATTCCACGATGGAGTCATGATCATTTCTACATTGGTCACTTTTTACCTTCTTATATGTTTTGCTCATTCCCGTCAATTTGTTTTTACCACTCAACAGACTTACTTCATTTTGTTTTCATAAGTAACAATTTCATAAATTTTACAACTCTTCAAAATTAATTCTGTAGTATGGGTTTTGTGGAGATCTGATTAATTTAACCGTGCATTTCGCCATGAAGTGAGAGAACATTAAGAGAACTAGACAGCATTGGGCAGGTAATTCGTCCCTCATGAAGTCGTGAGTGAATATTGCTGAGGAATTTCAAACCAGGACGACATGGATGTTCGTGATGATATGCCACCCTGATATATTTTATAGTTTTGGTCGTGTATTTAAATAAGTTTATGTTCAAAGAATTACGAAGAATAAATTCGTGTGAAGAAAACTATTAAAATAACACAGCTGACAGTATTCAACATGTTGGATAGCCTGTTTCAAATGTATTGTAAGTTTATGTTTGCCAAAATCTACTTCATTCATAGTCCAATGTATTTTCAAATACCTTGACAACATGTTAAATACCTTGGAAGTTAGAAAATTCGTTAGTAGGTTCATTTTTATGCACAGAAACGTCCTATTGTTACATTTCGAGGAAAAGTATGGGATTCAAAACTTTATACCATGAAATACAATGGTACTGAAGCTGTTTGTGTATATGTGTGTGCTCGTATCCAGATTTAACACCTTTCATATGAATTTATTCTCAGTAATCAGCAACATATATAAGTAGACACGTCAACGATAATGTGGAAAAAAAGTGTATCAAATGAACACCACAATTCTATTTGTTTCAAGTATTAGTTTGGAGGGGATTTTGCTTGATTTGTTGGAGGATTTCATCGTGAGCTGACATCAGTTACAGAACCATTGGAATACCTGCAGGGAGTACTCGACAGCCAGCTGTTTCGTTGGCCCAGTTTGGGACTCTTCACAGTACACACCCACCGCCGGGGTTCGAACCCACGACCTTCTGGTTACAAGGCGAGCTAGCTAGTAGACGATTAAGCCACTGGGACGCAATCCAATGACCAGTCCATGAGTTGTAACTTCTGCCAATTCACGACATAGCGTGACCATTTCGCAATGTCTTCTTCGATGAGTTACTGCCCCACCTTCAACCTACTGTACCCTACTGGTCACGGTTTCCCAGTAGAACCCCAGGTAACTGCCTGAATAGGGTCAGTTGCTAGTGAGCATCAGATCAGTTTTCAAGTATTGGTTGGAGAATTTTGTCATGACCTGACATCTGTTAGAGAACCATTGGAAAACCAGCAGGGAGTAGTGGACGGCTGTTTGTATGCGTACTGCTTGAGAGTTCCAAACTAGGGTGAAACAGCTGTCCAGTACTCTTAGGTATTCCAATGGTTCTCTAATTAATGCTAGCTTATGATAAAATTCTCCAACCAATCTATTAGTTTCACTCTGAAGTCATTATTCCTTCAGAAGTGCTGGTTGTATTGTATAAGCTACTTATATTAGCGCTTCAAAGTAGTCTTCACACCATTGTAGAGAAACACTTTAATGAATATTAGAGATATTCTGGCAAGATCTATCTGTGGCTTTATCAAGAATAATATTATTAATAATGCTATCTCAGTGACTAGAAGACGTATTATCCACTGCTGAATCGATCCTAGGACAATAAGCTGCCTTAAATCCACTGTACAGAAGTGTATTCATTAAAGAGAATAAAAACCCAACCAATTATGCCTTTTGGTGAGACTTAACACCCTCCTCTATCATTAGCTATAAGTGACGGTATCCGGTTTACTGCTAAGCTGTATGTAAGTCAGTTACATGTAGAACAACTGTGTCCAAATGCTAGTTGATATATATATATATATATATATATATATATATATATATATATATAGTATTTTGTTTTTGTAATTTATTTGATGAACAGTCTAACAACATCCGGAATATCATATCAGTCTATTATACTACTTATTAGGCTAATTAATACAGCATACAACAGTTGGAGGAATGACTACGAAATTAACCATCCCAATTCTTGTTTGCTATTTGATGCGTAATTATCTCAATTATCCACTCTTCAATTGTGTTTATTTCCAATTTAATGCACAATCCAGTGGTATTGTTTGAAATGCTTGAGTGATAAGCATCCTATGCCTCAGTAACAATATATATCGATATATATACGCACAGGTGCTTTCCTGTGTTTTTCATCTCCCTATGATGTTCCCTGTACATGAAACTGTATCCTTCTATGTCCATTAGTGATAATAAGAGAAGAGTATTGCTGGAAAGAAAGATAATCTGATAGACACACACTAATAAGGTCATTATAATTAAACAACAGCTTGTTGGAGTTGACGGATATAGTAACAACCAATGCTGTCAAGTCATTTAAATGTATAGGATGAATTATAAGTGAACGAGAATATGGACACATTTATTCAAATTTTACATAGTGAACCACTTAGCAACACATTTCAATGCAGTCAGTGTTAAAAACAAAGTCAAAAAAATGCTTTGTTTCTTATTCTCTAATATACGCTATCATGCGTGTTGTAGTAAGAAACAAATGTCAGATATCTGTTAACCTGCTTACACACACAAATTATATACTCAACCTGTAGGAAAACAATACTGAAGAGTATATATATATATATATATATATATATATATAGACCAAAACACTACATTCTGATATTATAAGAGAGTGAAGAAAATTTCAAATGATCTATCTAATCAGTATTTAATTGGTGGATGGTGACTAGCAGTGGAATCCAGTATGCACATTTCGTCCTATTTGGGACTCGTCATCTGGATGTGCCTCCATCATCACTCACTGAGAAATGCAAGTACATCCAGCTGACAAGTCCCAAATAGAACGAAACGCGCATCCTGGATTCCACTGCTAGTCACCATCCACCAGTTAAATACTAATTAAATGCCCAGACATCGTCGAAGCATCTGCTCAAGAAGCCGACATGTCAACCTGAGACCGAGCACTTCGGTCCAATCAATCGACGGGAAAATCTAAAATTCAATTAGATCTATCTAATCGCCTGCAACTACCCAATTGATATGTAAAGCGGTCTGAGTATCATCTGCTGGAGACATGAGAATTTGCTAACAAGGTAAGCAAGCATAAAACTCCTTCAAATTGAAGAAGCTAGAGCAATTAATATTTTAAAGGTAAATCTCTGCACATAATGGATGCCATTTCAAGCTATATACCTAAACTAAAATGAAGACTGTTAATCTCCAGCAAACAGCAATCGTTTACATTTCATTACTTCGATTGTTTTAGTCTATTCAACATTTCAAGCAGTCAACATTGAACAGATATCACTAGAGAGAAAATTCAAATATCAAATATTTGAATTATTTAGGTCTAATATTTTCTGACATTTCAATACATACTAGTGACTAGCAATATAGTAGTAATATATGTTTGTTTTTTATTCCTTTACGTTCCCAGTGGAACATAAGGCTTCAAGCTAGAGACCTGAAGTTTCAGTAGCAGTGGTGTTTATTTCTATGGGATGGGGTTGCTAGCCTCATGCCCAACCATCCCTCTTTATCAGTCTTATGACTGGTTTAGCGAGGTGAGGTGAAGGAGTGCGTCGGCCGGGGATCGATCCCCGGACCAGATGTGTGGTTGGCAAGCATTCTACCACCGTACTACCGACGCAGTATTATATGTACTATTTGTTAAACAA